GAGCAATGATTCTGAGTCAGCTCAGCAACTGCCTGGCTTCAAAGCCTGTTCCTCGACTTAGTATCTCATGTGATACGGACAAGTCCTGTCCCCTGTGAGCCTCGGTTACCTCTGCTATAACATGGGGATAGGGTCATCTCTACCTTGTAGGATTGCTCTGACACGCCTGCGAATGAACAATCTACATGTACAGTGGTCCCAGTGTTAGCTACCTATCTGTTCTTAGGACAGCAACAAGATGCCTCAACACTTCCAAATGGGCACGAGTTCCCTTAGGTTGGGAACCATGTCTTCTACTCCCTTCTACACCATGACTTTTCGTTTAGATGATTTTCCAATCTACACTAAAGTTAAAAAGAAGAATACACTGAACACCCATTCATCCTTCATCCACTTCCCTAGTTACAATTTTGCCACCTTTGCTTCATCTTGCTCTCGCTATATATAGACACGCCTATTATTTTCTTGCTGAATTATTTACAGACATCTACCCTTTAACACTTAGCTGTGTTTTCCCAAAGAACAAGGACATTTGCCCTAACTGTGAGGCCTGGAAACTTAATGTGCAAGAACACAAAGAAATGAATAAATACTGCATCTGTAATCATATAATCATAACATATTATGAGATTATATGCTATTATAAGTATTGTAATTGGAGCTTATACTTTTGGGGCATTCACTATGCAGCCATGTACCTTCCAGGTATTTTATATGAATCTCTCTCACAATAGTCCTAAGATACCATCTATAGGTGAAGAAATTGAGACCCAGAGGGTGAGCCAGGATCAGGACCTAGGAGACCTGGGTGGGTTCCTTAGCCCACTGTGGGGTTGTGTATGGTGAACGGTGGAGTTATCCTATGGGGAAAGAGTGGGCCCCAAAGCAGTGTCCCTGCCTCCCGCCTCAGCCCCAGTGCTGGGTACTCACTGTCTTCAGTGGGACGAATGTCTACACGCAGCTGCAGGTAAGGTTTGGAGGCGTTGGCAAAGGCCGTGCTGAGGTCCCAGTCGGACAGGAGGGAGAGGTAAGCTTCCTGCCCCAGCCGATCCCGGCCCAGGTAGCTGATACCAAAGTTCTTCTTTCTAGACGGAGGAGGAAAGGCGGCTCTTAGTATTCCTGCCCTGGAGGCCTCAGGGCCAATTTCCAAAATCAGGGGACGAGAAAAGGTGCTGAAGACAAGCAGTTCTGCTTTGTTCCAGTGGAAGAACAGATATACACCTGTTTGCATCTGAAGGGCACATTAAAAACCCGTAAGATGTTGCTCCCCCTCTGAGAGGTTGTTAAAGGGTAGGAATAAGAAGAAAGCTGCTCCCTTTCTTCTCACTTTTTAAAAAAAATATTGATTTATTTATGCATACAGAACTAGGGTATAGGCCCAGTGAGAGGATTCGCCAGAGACAGAGTGGGGAGCAGGACAGGCAGACTGATGAGGTACACTGCTGAGGGGAGCAGCAAGTGATTCAGGAGAGGTCTGCCATGCCATGTGGGTCAGCTCCAGGGCCGGGGATTGAACTGGCACTGAAGCAGCTGTGGCTCGCTTGCAGTGCTATGTTCTAACCTCCTGCGCCACCAGGGAAGGCCTCTTCTTACTTTTTAAAAATGAACTTTCTTAGTGCATTAAAAATAAAGCAATTTGTATATTTGCTAGTTTTTCCAACAAAAATGTTTACACAAAAAGGTCAAATAACAATTTGTTCTTCAGATATACCTATGTAACTGAAAATTAAATCTTTGTAATAACTACTGTGACCTTAGAAGCATCCTAACGATGCATCACTTTCCTCCAAAATAGCCACAATAACCACTACGCCTATCCCCAGAAATACCACTTTTCATCTGTCAGGTTGGTAAAATTTCCAGTTTTCTAGTAACCAGTGTTTGTGAGGGTTTGAGGGAAACAGTTCTTTTATTTACTGTTGGTGAGACTGAATTGGTGAAAACCCATCAGGAGAGCATTTTGGAAACATTCACTACAATTTAAACAGTGCACACCCTTTAACCCACCAATAGAAATTTATCCTTTGACTGCATTCCTCAAACAGTCCCAGGTAGACACATGTGGTTGTTCATTGTAGGATTATTTATAATAAAAAATTCTACCAAACAATGATACAAAAGCCAAAGCATCATGGTGGAGGTGGGTAGCCCACTAGCTGGGGCCCAGCACCCCATCACTCACCCGTTCAAGTCAAAGGCTCGGATGAGAATGTGCTGTAACACATCGAGCGAGGTGATCTGGGGGTCGACGGCGAAAGAGCGGAATTCAGGTGACAAGAAGCTCTCATATTTCTGGGGAAAGAAGACACTGGGTAGGCTACCAGGGGCCATGTTATCAGGTGCAACAGCATGAATGGTAGGAGGCAAGATCAGAGAAGTCATGGGGGCCAGATCAAGGTAGGTGTTCTGGGCCCCAGTGAGGACATTGGTGTTTGCTGAGCCGTGCAAGGGCTCTGTGCGGGGAGGAGACGTGGTCTGAGTTAGGGTTTAACGGGAGCAGGTTGCTCTGCAAAGAACACACTGTGGGGGAAGGGAGGAAGCAGTGGTCCAGTGGAAAGCAGACTACTGCAACAGTCCAGACACCTAATCCTGCATCTCTTCAACTCTGGTTGCCAGTCACCTTATCCAGCCTGGCCCCATTAAATCAGACCTCCATATGGCACCTCTGTTTGCAACATTCTCCTTCTTAAGCCTCTGCAAAGGCAATCTCAGGGTCCCCAGCAAGGGGTCCTATATGAACTGTGAGAGCCTCTCTCCAGTCAGCGGTTTGGAGCTTCATGCTCTGGTACCACCAAATTGTTAAAAGTTACTTTGAACACATCTTGGCTCTAGGCCTTTGTTTGTGCTGGTCCCGGCTGGAATATCCTTCCCATTTTCTCCACCCAGCTCACTTACAGTCAAACACTATCTTTTTTTGTAAACTTCCAACCCTCCGCATACAGCCTGTTCCATTACACTGAAGTGCTCTGTTTACTTTTCTCCAGAATCTACCCTTTCCTCACCCTTCCCAGAACCACCACCCTCACCAGTCACCTTTGCTTACCAGAGCTACTGCAAGTTTTCTTCCTGAGTCCACACCAATGGCCCTCACAATCTGTCCCTCTCAAACTCCCTGATTCACCTCCTACCACTCTTCCCCACTCCAGCGATATGGAAAGTTAAGGAAACACGCCAAGCTCATTCCCACCTCCCAGGCTTTGCCCTTGCTGTTCTCTGCCTAGAACACTCTTCTCCCCATATGCACATGACTGACTTCTTATCCGGGTCTCCGCTCCTTCAGCACCTCTCTGAGGAGGTCCCTATACAACGTTGTCTAAACCTTGTCTAATTCAGTACCCTTTTTGCTAAGTCCAAAGCATCTCATTTATTTAGTTGCTCATCTTCTAGATGAGAGTCTCAGGTCATGGGGGAGGGGGGAGGGAACCTGCACAAAAGTGTACTGACAACACACGTGTTCACTTGACTTCAGCACCTCCTTTCTCATTGAGCAACAGCACCCCTCGTTCCTCAAAATCCCACTCCTCAAATTATTAGGGTCCCTCCTTCAACCCCATGGCTCCTTCCCTCTATTCTCAATCTCCCCCTTACCGTCTACAGACCCATTTCCCTCCATTTTCAGACCCCCACCACTGGCTACATCCCCAAGGCCCCGTGTCCTCAAGCCCTGCGCCGCATTCCCAGGTCCAGCCTCCCCTCCTCCCATCTTTCAGCCCTCAAGCCTCGCCCCCAGGTAACACCCCGTCTCTGGCTCCGCCCTCCATCCTAGGACAGCTGTCGCCAGGCCCTTCTTGGGGAACCCCTGGGCCGGGTGGCCGACCCTCGGCTGTAAACCTCACCTTGACTCGGACCCGCACCACCTCTCTCTCCTCCTCTTCGGCTGCCGCCGCCTGGGCTCCCCCGCCAGGTGGGGGCGCTCCGGTGCCGGTTAAGTCCGAGGGCCCAGAGGCCGTCGCCATCCCGCCGCCACCGCCTCAGGGTGACGGTTGACAGTTGCCCCCTACCCCTGCGCGAACCCCAGAGAACGGGCGCCCGCGGCCCCACCTCGCGCCCGGGCGCAGGCGCAGAAGGCGCCGTGCGGACCCCCCCCCCCACCTCCTCAACCCTCCCACAAGGCTCGGGGTGGCGGTCTCGTCTGCGCATGCGCATAGCGCTGTTGTCTGTAGCCTCTTCCCCAAAGCCGGTGTTAGGTCTGGTTGCAGCCAATGTGCTGGCGCCTACTGAGGTCCCGCCTCCCCTCGCCCGAGGTTGTTGGGCAGTCTACTTCCGGATTCACCTAGGTGTGTGTGGAAGTGACAACCTATTCTGGGGAGACAAGTGGGCAGGGAAAGGAAGCGCGATGACGTCGAGAACCTCACATCCCGCCCTAGTCGCCAAGAGCCTCTGCTGACAGATGATGTCATTGCTTTCAAATGTCAGAGACCCTCGCTCTGAATGAACCCGCTGAACGGGGGAAAAAATGCTTTTCCCAGAATTTGTTCAAAAATAATTTAGCATGAACATTGATGGAGCTATACATTAATGACTTTTACGATTTCTGTCTGTATGTTAAAGAATTTACCCCAAACAGCCATTGTTATGCTCTTTGGAAAGCCTCTTTATTTAAAATTTTGCCTTCATGTCATTTAATATTCACAACACTTTAGGACAGTCCTGTTGTTAAATAGTATGTGTCCAGTAAATATCAGCTGAATGATTGAACGTATCTTAGACTCCTTTGAGGAGCTTTGAATGCAGAATGCAAAACAACATTCTCATTTGGTTGCACAACATCCCTAAGTTTGGACAAAATAAGATTACCTTTACAAATTTGACAAAGGAGTCCTGTAGTCCTGTAAGATACCTGGATTTCAGCTGTTGCCATGCTGGATGGCTGCTACTTTTTTTTTTTTAAGATTTATTTGTACATACAGAAATGGGGTACAGGCCAGAGGTGCAGGGGCAATGAGAGGATTCACCAGAGACAGAGTGGGGAGAACAGGCAGATCCTGGAAGTACATTGCTGAGGGGAGCAGCCAGGGAGACAGGAGAGGTCTGCTGTGCCATGTGGGTCAACTCCCTGGCTGTTGGGGGATTGAAATCACGCTGAAGAGGCTGTGGATAGTGTCTTAGTGCTGTTTCAGCCTGCTGTGCCACCAGGGAGTGCTCAGCTGCTACTATTGATGTTAGATTTTTAGACTGATGCAGTTCTTTTTGGGTATCTTTTAAAATAATGTGTTGCTTTGCTATTAGTATTAGGCATCTCTACTTTCTGAAAGGTTCAAAGGAGAATTTTCTTGGAAAGTCAGAAAAGGTTTATTGGTTTCTTTGTCTTTCCTAGGTGCTGGAGTCAAACACTTCTTAGGGCACTTCTGGGTTTTCTGATGGAAACAAGTTTTCAAGAACCTGCTTGTTACTAAAATTATCATAGAGTGGGATGAACAAAACATTAGCTTGGGCATTGGAGTTTATCCTAAGGGCACTGGAGCACAGGTTTTAGATGGGGAAATCATGTGATCAGATGCCTGTGTCTTGTTTGTGCAGAGAACCTTGGATGGAAAGCTTCTGGAAGCAAGGAGATCAAACAAGAAGTCCTTGCCAATCCTGGGGCAAACTCTTTATTTACTCTTCCATTCAATAAATACAAAGTGTATGCCAGATAACTGAATATATTAGTTCATTTAATCTGTATAAAAGCCCCATGAGGTAGGTACTATTATTATTAGCCTATTACAGAAGAGAGCACTGAAGGCCAGGTAGGAAAAAAGCTTAATGTCAAGGGTGTAGTAAGTAGCACAGGGGGGAGACTGTATAACAGAAGGCGGTGGGGCTTGAGAAGCTGTTCTTGAAAAAAAGCAAAGAGAACAGTAGGCCATAAGCAATGAGGTAATTGATGGATGTGAGGTGAGAAAGTAAAGCACAGCTTTGGCCTTAACAGTGAGGCATTTCTCAAAAGATATACTGTAGGCTTGAGTAGGACCTGGATTTGAACTGAAGCCCTGCTCTATACAGGTCATCTGAAGCCAGTCCACAGGTATTTGCACTTATTATTCATGCTTTGTCACCTCACATTTCTTCAAGTATCCATTTACTTTATGACTGCAGGTCAATGAGGTTAAGGATAGAGACCATGAGGTGAGTGATGTGGGTCTATACGGTGTTGGATATCTGTGGGGTGAATGATGAGAGTTGGTGATATGTGGATGCATGATAGGTGGTTATGAGGTAAGTGATGGGGATCTGTAGGGTAAACGATGGGGTCTGTGGGATGAGTGATGGACAATCACTGGGGTAACTGGGACCTGTGGAGTGTGTTTGTGAGATGATGGATTCTGCAAGTAAGTTATGGGGTGTTAAAGAGTTAATGAAGTGAGTGATGGGGGGAATATATAGCATGAATGAAAAACTATTTGTGGGGAGAATGATAGATATCTAAGGGGTTAACAATGGATTATGTGGGATGATTGATGGTAGAGTTTGTGGCTTATTTTGTGGGGTCTGTGGGGTAAGTGACGGGGTCTTTGGTGTGTGTGCTGGTAGGTCTATAAAGTTAGTGATGGGGTATCTTTGGGGTGTCTTAACAGGAGACAAGAGGCTGAGTGATGTGTAGGATGAAGTAGTCTCTGAGGTGAACAATGAGGCCTGTGGAGTGAGTGATGGCTAGTGTTATGAACCTTATTGCCCCCCCACTTATATTGAAACCTAACCCCGCAATGTGACTAGATTTGGAGATAGGGCCCTTAAGGAGGTAATGAAGGTTAAATGAACCCTAATCCAATAGGACTGTTATCCTTGTACGAAAAGAAAGTAATACCAGAGATAGGGACCCATGGGGGGAAGGCAATCTGCAAGCCGAGAAAGGCCCAGGAGAAACCTACCCTGAGAACACCTCGATCTTGGACTTCCAGTCTCCAGAACTGTGAGACTGAGTTTGAAAGATCAACAGGAGACTGTGGAGTCAGTGATGAGGTGTCTGTGAGGTGAGTGATGGGAAACTGTGGGGTCAGTGATAGGCCTTTTTGAGGCCATGGATTGGAGGGTTATCTGATGATGGGGGAAGGTTATGACTTTGGGAATGGTAGTCTGTGGAATGAGTGAATGATGGAGGGACCTGGGGAGTCAGTCATGGAGTATTTCTATAGTTAGTAATTAAAGATCTCTCAGTGTTATAGTTAAGGTCTTTTATTTCCTGATTAAAAAAAATATTGCCACCATCACAGACCTTCTAGGTTCTCTGGAACCTTTGTCCCAATGGCTCCTGGCAGCAGCTCTAAGGAGCTCCTTTCTTCCCTTCTGTCTTTGGCCCTTTTCATACCCATTCGTCAGCCTGAGTTTGAAAGATCAATTTGCTTTGTCCCTCCAACCTGCGGGAGCAGGACTAGAATCTTCTGGAATTCAGAGAGTTCCACATCAGCTAGTGTGCAAGTCTAGTCCATCGCTCACTAGTTCCGCTTGCTCTTGGCTTTTGTGGGCCTGGCGTCCAGCATGCTCTGGGCACGAGTGAGCTGCTTTACTGAATCAAGCACAAGGATTCCAGGTACCACCAGCCACAGGGAGTTCAAGAAGACAAAGTAAAACCAGAAGTACAGTGGATGGCCCAGCTCCCCATGCTGGAATCCGTCACGATACTCTGTCAGGAAATAGAGCACATCCCCGTAGATCTGACCTGTGGGAGGAAGAAGGGAAGGAGGGAATCCTGTGAAGAGACAGAGCTTTTCCAAGTCATTCATAGTCTCAGGGCTCAGGATCCCCAAATTCAGAGAGCTGAGATTTTCTGAACTCAGGAGCATTCACATCTGCAGATTTAAGGAAGCTCAAAATCCTAGAATTCAAGATAGGTCAGGATTCTGGGACTAAGAGAGAACTTGTATTTTTATAACTAAAGAAAACAAACAATTTAAGAGCCCATGAGGATACAGTTTCATATGAAGGGCACTCAGATTCTGGATGCCAGAGGATCCAGTAGCTTTCCACCATCACGGGTCACCTCACATAGACCCCACAGGAGACTTAGATGGAAGAGGAGAAACCCTGCCTGCTTGAAAATACATGTTCAGAGAAGGATGTGGCTGTTCCAAAACCTCAGCTGTTCAGTCTGAGTCAGCCTGGATGAACATCACTGAGAGAGCCCATCAGTGATGCCTCTATGTCTCGCATCTCCTTAAGCCCTTCCAGTGCCCAGCGTGGGCCCTTTTCCTTACCCACAGAGACCACGAGCTGTAGAACAAAGCGGATGGGTTTCTGCCGGAGAATGGTGAGCACCAACATTAGGCTCAGCGGTCCCCACAAGTAAGCTGTGATGGACTCCATGCATATCATAAAGTTGTCATTCCTGAGGGAAAAGATGGGGGGGGGACACTAGCATCACAGTGCTCTGCTCACAGGGTACCCCATGGTAGCTCCCTGAGTCATCACCACCTTAAGCCAAAAGAGGTCCCCCTTGACAGAGGCAAACACTTACAGGAGGTATCGGCTGTCTCCCTTGGCGTACTCTTTCCCTGAAGCAGACAAGAGACATCACATTAAGAAAGGAACTCAGAGTGATGACAGCCCAGAACCCATGTAAGAAGGCAGATTTTCAGGGCCTCCCTGGTGGCATTAGGGGTTGAATCTCAGCACTATGAAGCTACTGGCAGCCACTGCAGCACGAGTTTGAACCCCAGCCAGGGAGCTGACCCACATAGCACAGCAGACTTCTCCTGACCCGCCCGCTGCTTCCCTCAGCAGTGTATTTCGATCAACCTGCCTGTTTTGCTCCCCACTCTGTCTCTGGTGAATTCTCTCACTCGTCCCCATATCTCTGGCCTACACCCCAATTTGGTTGCATAAATAAATAAAATAAATCTTAATGAAATAAAATAAAACTATACTGACAGATACACAAGGTATTACAATTCAGGTCTAGCTTTAAAAAAAAAAAAAAAAAGGCAGGGTCCTCCCTGGTGACGCAGCAGGTTAAAGCACAGCACTGAGAAGCTAAAGCCATTTCAGCATGAGTTTGATCCCTGCCCCAGAGGTGAGCCACATGGCACAGCAGACCTCTCCTGACCCGCCCACTGCTCCCCTCAGCAGTGCACTTCATCAGTCAGCCTATTCTGCTCCCTACTCTGTCTCTGGTGAATCCACTCACCACCCTGTACTTCTGGCCTGTACCCCAGTTCTGTATGCATAAATAAATAAATCTTAAAAAAAAAGAAAATCTTATTTATGCATGCAGACAGTTCTGTATGCATAAATAAATAAATCTTAAAAAAAAAAGAAGGCAGATTTTCTAACCTCCCCATGCCTCAATTTCCTCATCGGTGAAATGGGGCATCCATGTTTAAATTCCAGATGCTCATATATGTCATATACAAGATCTTGTATTATATACAAGATAATGTATCTGACACAGAACAATAAAGTGTTGCTGTGATTGTCTGCTACTCCAAAATGTTTGTGTAATCAAAGGAGACAGATGCAGATGACTGTGTGAGTGAAACAGTGAGTGAGTGACTGAGTAAGTAAGAGCACAAGCACGAGCATGCAGGTGATCAGATAAGTAAATAGAAGAGGGGACAGAGAATCAGTAGGGGATATCACTCAATGTAAAAATAGGTGGGAGGTTGGAATAAGTTCTTCATACAAAGGGATTCCCAAAGAAGCACACAAAAGGTGCTCAAACTTTCATTAGTTGTTAAAGAAAAGTAAAACTGTAATCACACATCACTCACATCCACTAGCAGGATAAAAAACTTAGAACTCCCTGACCACACCAAGTGTACGCAAGGACAAACTAGAACTCCTTACACTGCTGGTGGGAACAGAAGATGGTGTAGTCATTTCTGAAAACAGGTTGGCAGTTTTTCAAGTGAAACATACACATACCATACAAACCAGCCATTCCACTTTTCCATGTTTACTCAAGGGAAATGAAAGTGGATGTGCACATACAGACTTGCATAAGAATGTTCCTCGCATCTCATCCACTAGGTCAGAAGGATTATTGTTTGTAACAGCAAAAGATTGGAGGGATTTGTCCATCAGTACTGTACAAGTGAAATAATTCTGTAGTATCATGCTTCGAAAGCTCTGTGACTTCATTAAAAAAGCAAAATTCAACAGTGTATATAGCCTTTTCCTATTATGTAAAAAAATAAAAATAAAAATAATGATGACAATAAACAACTGTATGGTATCTACTATCTGTCAAATCTGTTCTAAGTAACATACATGTACTACTACTATCCGTTTTTTACAATTGAGCAAACTGAGGCTTATGTGTGTAGTTTATGTATAAATAAAATCCCTGGAGGGAAAACATAAGCAATTATTAACAGTGGTTAATAATCAGGGAAACTTGGTAGATTTTCATTGCATACTTCTTTAAATGACTTATTTTTTGACCCTGTGAATTTATGTGCTTCAAATGCATATAAATTAAATGAATTTAAACAAATGAATGGGGCCCTCCCTGGTGGCACAGTGGGTTAAAGTACAGCACTGAGAAGTTAAAGCCATTTTAGCACCAGTTCCATCCCAGCCAGGAAGGTGACCCACAGGGGGAGGCAGACCTCTCCTGATCCGCCCACTGCTCTCCTCAGCAGTGTACTCGTTGATCTGCCTGTTCTGCTCCCCACTCTGTCTCTGGTGAATCCTCTCACCTCCCCTGCACTTCTGGCCTGTACCCCAGTTCTGTATGCACAAATAAATAAATCTTTAAAAAAAAATGAATGGAAGCGGGGTGGGTGGCTAAATAGCTAAGCCAATCCCTGCCCAGGAAGCTCCCTCCTACACATACCAAAGAACTTAGAACTTACAGAGTTGGGACAAGAAGGCTTGATCTCCAAGAAGGTCCTCATGGTAGACGATGAACCAGCCCTCAATCACCATGTGGATGAACCCACAAACTGCAAACCAGCACACAGACAGTCGCCGCCAAGTCCCCAGTGGGACGACTGCAGCTCGACCCGACAATAGCCATGTGGTCACAAGTAAGACCCCAGCGGTGGAGAAGAGGCCAGCCAGGAGATGCCAGGTGGGGCGGTCATTAGGCACGAAGTTGTCCAGTTTCAGTTGCCGAGGCCAGTATGGGTGCAAGGGGCTGGAGCTGGTGGCCATGTCTTTGTGGGCCGGTGACTGTGCGTGGATAGTAGAGAAAAAAAGGAACAGAAAAACCTAAACAAAGAGAAAGCACAGAATGAGATTTTTAAAAAATCAAATCCAAATAGCTTTTTTAATCACAAGAAATGTTAAGTGGACTGAACTTATCAGTTAATAGACTATAAAGGGCACGGGTAGCCTGAAAGCTTGTCCCCAGCAAAGGAATCAGACCAGATCCCAGTCCTTGGGGGGTCACAGTTTGGTGAGGGGAGGTGGATCCGGAGCTAGTCCCTGCTCTCCGGTTCACGGTCGGCAGGGGGTGACCCAGGGATCCGGCAGGAGTCAGTGCACCGTTTATCTGAAAGCTATTTCCTCCCCGCAGTCCTGGAGACTACAGGACGGAAAAGAGAAAACTATTGAGAACTATGACCCACAGTTCAGTGACTGGAAAGGCAAATCCTTCGCGCAATAGCACAAAACGCCTCTAACCTCCAAGAGAAGAGTAAAGTGCAGGGTAGCGGTATTGCGCGAGGCGCCAAAGAGGAAAAGGAAGGTCAAATACAGAGACTACCAATCAGAAATAGAACTCTTTGATCCAACTGCCCAATGAGAAAAAGGATCTTCTGTTTATCTCCCCGCCCCCTTGATCGTGCAGTGGATGGGTGGGGGGGTGTTATCGCAGGAGTGTAAGGGTGGTAGGGGGGAGAGAGAAACACACAGAGACAGAGAGCAATGAGAGACCGGGAAAGGGAGTGGCAAGCTAAGCGGAGAGTACTCACCAGCCTGCGTGTTCACAGCGGCCTCTTTCACCCTGGTCTGGGACTTTCTAAGCCGGCTCACACCGTCAGTAACATCCCTAGTTCAGACTCTCCACCTCACAGGGCCACGCCTTAGGGAGGAGGCCAATGGAGGCGCTGGGGAGATGGTCAGTGTCTATCCCAACCAATGGGAGCTCTCTGTGTGCCGCTGGCCCCGCCCACACGCGTGGTGCCATTTTCGCTGTTGGCTGAGACCAAGTCAGGAGTCTGATCAATGAACCGGAAAATGTTAAGGTATTTCATCACCCACCTCATCTGCCATCAAACCAGACTGTGTTGTTTCCTCTCACTTCAATCCTTGGTTTCTAGGCGGGGCAACCGCTCATTTCCTAGATCCACCTTCAATCCTAATCCGAGGAAATTGTTAATATGACAGGCATATCACACCCTACACACTGCACTTCCTCCTTCTTTCCTAACAGCAGCGGTCATCCTCACTTGTCCGGACTTCAAGTCAGAAGAGCCAATCAAAACCCAGGTACTGCAGCTTTGCCGACTAACTGGCACGGCAACTCTCAGTCTCCCAGCTCCAACTCTAAAGAGCCAATCAGAACTTTATAATTCTAAGCCAATGGGCACCCAGACCGAGCAATCAGAGTCGGGCTGGACCTCCCATCCAATTAGAATCCACAATATCGATCCTAAGGACATTGACCACCAATTTTTTTGTTTCTTGATTTCATTCCTCCCTGTCCCAGTTAAGGCAATTAATTATACTAGAAAGGCTACCTCAATTATCTGGACAGTAGTATTGGGCTCTTCTCACCCCCAGCTCTCTGATTTGTCCTGGTCCCACTCAAACCAAACAATGCCATCATAAATTAACAGTGAGCCAATCATAACCTGCTCCCTCTTCATGGTTTCCAACTTCCAAACCTTTATCACTTTTGTTCCCCACTGAGCAGTGAAGAAAGAGCCTTTTCGATATTTCCTACTTTTATTTGACAATAACAAACTGTATATAAAAAAGGGAGAAGAAAGGCGGGGAGGCCCTTGATCTCCCCCTCTTTGCTGCCCCAAGCATCCCCCATCATCCCTAGACTCCAGCAGGGACCACCCCCTTCCCGCCTTGTGGTGGGGTGGGAATTAACAGGCATGGAAGTGTGTGTGTGTGTGTGTGTGTGTGTGTGAGTCAGAGAGAGAGAGAGAGAGAGAGA